TGGGCTTCTTCTTTAGAGCCATTTCCTCTCTTGGGCCATTTAATTTGGGCTGCCTGTTTTGTGTGTCAACACTTTTAGTATTGGAGGACCAACAATGGTATCGGAGCCTCAAACGTTTTTGAGGAAGTTTTCTAGTTTGATTTGATGAAACCCTTGTTTTTCCAAAACTAACTTTTTAAAAATCGTTCGATCTAGAATTTATTGTGGAAACATTTTTGTTTTCTAGAAGAAACCTGTTTGATCTGCCTTCGATTCAACTTTTGGTTGGATCCTTTCAAAATTTGGTGTCTCTGGGTTAGATTTGTAAAAATCTTTAACGGTCCGAGTAATTTTCTAAGGTTTCTAGTACTGTTTTTCTTAAAACCTTGATAACGCGTTCATAATCTTGTGTATCTTTGTGTTTTCACACTGATTTATGATGATTCTTTGGTAACTCGCTATTAAGTTACGGTAATCCTCGTAACTCATTCCTAGTTATTAGTGAGTTGAGTTAATTCACTCCAATACCTGATGATTTCTATGACTCACTCCTGAGTTGTAATAAGTCATAATGACTCGCTGACTGCTTGCATACTGTTTGGGAGCCTTGGTCCAATTTTGGTATTCTTTTATCTTCTGCCATGTTCTGAAACCTTAGGTTTCAGCATCTGGTATTTTCTAAACCATATTACTCATTTTTCACTTGTATTCTGTCTTGTTCGGCTGTGGTTATCAAGGTGATTGATCTACCTCTGTTTACCTTTATCCAAGGTCTCTTACGAGGATCTGAAAATCTGAGAAAACATTGGATTATAAGGCTTTCAACCCTTAAACCCATTAAATTGACAGTACAGTTTTATAATTTGCACTTATTGATCATCTGCCTGTAGGATTATATAAGTCTGTGAATTATATAATCTGCTTTTCTGTTTTCCGCAAAATTTTATGATAAGTAGAAATCAACTTTATTTTATTGTAATTCTTTACTTAAAATTATGCAAAAACTGTAAACTATTTCTTCTTGCTTGATCTTGAAATACTCTGTGATATATACCCGTCTAGATGACTTCGTAAACATGAGTTCTGTACGAAAGTGAGGTTGAATTTTGGAATGGCATTGGAGACTTATAGTCTCTGACGCAAGAAAATTAGAGCTCTGTTATTACAACAAAAATATGTTGCTGCCCTAGATTATAACTCTTATAAAAAATGGAAAGGCAAAATGAGAAGAACAAAGGAAGATCTAAGATTAAAGTCAAGAAATGTAATTACTGTGGAATCAAGAAATGTAATTATTGTGGAAAGACTGAACATTTCATGAAATG